CATATAAATTTAGATGATATCTTGCATATGCAAGAGCAATGCATTAATAGTGCAATATATATATATATATATATATATATTAGAATCATACTTAATTACTTAAACTTCACTGTAGAAAACACACTTTGAATAACAATGTCGTCATTTCCGGTATCATGGCCACCAAAACAGTGGCAGGAATTTGTCAGCTCGGTCCAAAACTGGGTTTCATGGATCCGCTGTGTCTTTGAGGCGCCATCTCGGCTTTTCGGATCTTTAAGATCCGACTATGGTGCGGCACTTCGGACCAATTTGTGCTTTTGCGTTAAAATATGGCATTTGAATCCATCTTCGTCAGCAGTTGGTAGTTAGCTGTAAACGTTGGCTTGCAGGAAAGCACTATGCAAAGATCAGTTTAGCAAAAATAAAGTTTCTGCAAAGGGCAACTAATGGAGCATACACTACTTATTATAAACCTGATAGTATTTAACTCCGATTATTACTGATATTACTCATGGCTTGTAGTTCTAGCTCCAATGCAAAAATGTCCAATCCAAATGTCAGCACACCGGCGATGGCGGTGACACCAGACGCCGTGGATCAGAAGACAAGCCCGGTGGTATTTGAGATTTACGGAAAGATCTGGAACGTGCAGGCTCGTCTGGGGCAGGGCGTCTCGGCCTCGGTGTACCGGGTGAACTCCGGCCGGGCGAGTTCTGCAGTGAAGGAGTTTCAGGTGGACGCGCAGGGTGGAGATTACGGGTATCTCAAGGAAAGCTCTGTGCTGGAGAAGATTCAGGGACATAAAAATATAGGTAAACCATACAGGGGTCAAGACAAGCTAACAAACATAGATTTAAACCAGTGCTTCTCAACCGGGGGCCCAGGGACCACTCTGCAAACTTTCCTGGTGCCCCAATAAGACTTAAAATTATTTACAATTTTCTCGTATTAGCATAATCTTAATTAAAATACTAAAAAAGAGAGATGTAAAACGTGTGAGAGATGTGAGTTTATTTAATTTAATTACAACATCAGTACCAAAGGTACAAATCAGCTTAGATATTAGGGCCTTTTAATATTCTCTTGTACAAAGGGTCCCTTGTAGTCAAAAAAGTTGAGAACCACTGATTTAAACAGCTCAATGTGCCATTTTATTGGTATTAAAATCATGCAAAAAAAAATCATTATTTTGATTCTGTTTAATATAGAAACAATTCAGAAGTAGGCCTACACTGGCGTTTCAAATCTAAAATTGCTACTCAATTTACTATAGTGATCATGATTCCTGAAGATCCAACTGCTGTTCCAGCATTGTAATGTTGGTATTTTCGTTGGTTAACGTTGGTATTTTCTCTCTTGTCTGGTGTTTTTTCTGTTGTCTCTCTAGTGACGCTGTATGGAATGTTCACCAATCACAACCCATTTGGTGTGGCCACTCATTGTCTGTTGTTGGAGCTTTTGGATGTGAGTGTGTCAGAATTGCTGGTCAGGGTGAGTAATCAGGGGCATTCCATGTGGTTGATTCAGCACTGTGCCCGTGATGTTTTGGAGGCCCTTAGCTTCCTGCACAGAGAAGGTTACGTACATGCTGACCTCAAGCCCCGCAACATTCTCTGGAGCGCTGATGACGAGTGCTTTAAGCTCATTGACTTCGGCCTTAGCTTTAAAGACGGACACCAGGTGAGGAGTTGATATGGTTTTCCTGAGACACCCCATCATTTGCTGTCTGAATTTATTCACATACACAAAAATACACTGCTGTTCAAAAATTTGAGGTCGGTATAATTTTTAATCAACTTTTTTGAAAAAAGTATTTTATGCTTACCAAGTCTTCATTTATTTGGTCAAAATACAGTAAAACAGTAATTTTGTGATTTTTGAATTAAAAATAACAGTTTAATGTCTTATTTATATATATATATTAAAAGTATTTTATTCCTGTGATGTCAAAGCTGAATTTCCTGCAGCCATTACTCCAGTCTTCAGTGTCTCACGATCCTTATGAATCATTATAATATGCTGATTTGGTGCTCAAGAAAACGGGTTGAAAGCTCATGTTTATGTGGAAACTGATTAATTTTTTTAAGGAGTCCTTAAGGTATGAAAAGTTAAAAAGAATATCATTTATTTAAAGTAGAAAATTCAATTTAATGTAGAATTTCTTAAAAAAAAAAAAAAACTTACTGACCTCAAACTTTTAAATGGTAGTGTAGTATTAATGTTCCTCAGTATTCAGATATAGGTTGGAAGTGAGGTTCTTGTCTTGTCTGACTAAGGGTTCTTGTCTGTTCCTTACAGGATGTGAAATACATCCAGACAGATGGATACCGGGCACCTGAAGCCGAGCTGCAGAACTCACTGGCCAAGGCAGGTCTAGAGAGCGACTCTGGCTGCACAACTGCTGTGGACCTGTGGAGTCTGGGAATCGTTCTTCTGGAGATGTTCTCAGGAATCAAACTGAAAGAAACTGTGAAGTCTCAGGAATGGAAGGTCAGCTGATGCCCAAGCAGCTGTGAAGCTGTACTCTTTCCTGAATATGAATTTAAATCTTGAATGTTATTTAGTGTAATAACAATTTGCTTCAAAATTTTCTCTGAGTAAACTGTTCCTCATGCTATTTTGACCTGTTATGCTTGCTAAGATGGCATTGTGTTGTGTCTCTACAGGATAACAGTTCTGCAATAGTAGACCATATCTTTTCAAGCAATGCGTTGGTTTACCCGGCTATCCCTGTTTTTCATTTGCGGGATCTGATCAAAAGGTAGGAAGTAATCTAAGCGGTGTACTAGTGAGTTCTTTAGACATGTCTAAAACAAGTAATATACAGTATGTCTTTACATTCCCAGTATGCTTCACAATGACCCTAAACTGAGAAGCACAGCTGAGTCAGCATTAAACAACCCTTTCTTCAGCATTCCCTTTGGTTTGTATGACTTTGCATCTAAAAACATTGTCTACATCGCCCAGTTTGGTGTAACACTGTGTGAGTGAGGAACTGCTTTGGGTTTTAGCACCTCATATTGAAGATTTGGTTCTTTTGCCTACACCTGTCTTGAGACTACTAAACGTGATCGACGACAACCACCTGTATAATGAGGATGATTATGAAGGTTAGTCTTTGTCTTTACATTATCTTTATAGTAAATATATTTTAAATATAGTGTTTTATTTAGTAGATCTCAAAGTCACATTTATTTCTTGGTTTTCTTAGATATAATAGAGGACATGAAAGAAGAATGTCAGAAGTATGGCACGGTTGTATCCTTATTGATCCCAAAAGAGAATCCTGGCAAGGGACAGGTGAGGAAAATGGAATTTCAGTAGTGAATGTGAATTATTCTAGATATTCTCTTGACCTAATAATTGGAGGATGAGATTTTATATCCCAGTGGTACTATCCTGGTAAAATAATAATCTCTATAAAAATAGCCTTATCTAGTAACCACAAACAGCTCAAAGCCATGGAAATCTATTGTTCCAAAAGTGTGGGAACTCTGACAATGACAATTTCTGGTTTATTAGAAAGTTTGACAAGATTAAAAGTAATGATAACTTGCCGTTCAGTAAGAGAGTCTGATGTTAATTCAGTAACAATTCAGACAGATTAAGTGGGGTCATTCTGTGAAGGATTCATTAAATTGATTCAGAACGATAACTAGTGAGTCTTTTTGACACATTCAAATAAAGAAACTCATACGAGTTCATTTTTTTAATTAATTATACAACACTGGTCACACTGTATGTATGTATAAGAGAATGCAATAGAAAGACTTATCCATTTATTGTATTTTATTGTACCACTCAATTATATATATGTTTAAAATACTATATTAATGTAATTAAATGAAAAATCCTTTTTGGAAGCTTACAAAAAAATTATTTATTTTCCCATGATGCTGTTGATCCAGAAGCAGCAAAATAGCGCAGCAGGTGTCAATTCCACCTCCTAGTGGATAGAAAGACAATGATTCAGAGTGTAATGTGCTATATATTTTGTCCAGTTCTGAAGATTCATCATTCGTCTTGTCTTGGCAGGTGTTTGTGGAGTATGCAAATGCTGGAGACTCCAAAGAAGCCCAGAGACTGCTGACAGGCCGAACGTTTGATGGCAAGTTTGTGGTCACTACGTTTTATCCACTTAGTGCCTATAAGAGAGGTTACTTATACCAAACTGTGCAGTAAGGCTGCACACACACCTCCATACACAAGATGTAAATTACAATCATGTTACTGGTTTAAAACCCTTGATCTGTGTATTACTCTGTTGTGCTACCTTTAATATTTACGTGTGTCACTAAGAGCAACATTGTTGTGAATATAGGCACACATGCAATTTAACTTGAGTGTAACAAGGAGAAAAGATTTAGTGCCTGCTTCCTACTTCCTTTTTTACTAAATGATAACAACATAAGACAATTATATTTACTGTGTGATAGCTGGTTGCCAGACATTCAATATGTATGCTTCCATACTTTTTCATTTTGATTTTTTTTTTTTTTGCAGTGGAATTGATACACTGCTTTGGTTTACACTGCCTTCTAAATAACAGATCACTTCAGAGACTAGGTTTACATGCTCTTTGAATGTCTACAATTCCAAAAATGTGTAGTTTATGTGGCCTGTTTTCTTCCGTTCTTTTTTCCGTTGTTGGGTTTGGTGAAGGTATGTAGGTATTTCCAGTAATTATGCACATATTTATAAACTACTGGCAAAATTCACTGGCCTGCATGCACTGTGGCGTGGTTAACATTTATGTTCAACTTCACCATGAAAGCTGTTTAACCGCATTTAAACTGAAGATGGAAATCTGCAGAGAGCACAAATACGACAGAGCGGCTAGCCTTGTGCTATAGATCATTCTTAAGTGACTTTTTTTTTTGCTTATTCAGGGTTGACTGGAATGAGACTCCATGTCTAACACAAAAGCCACAATCTGTCTCATCCAAAACCTCTCTGGATATGTTTATTGAACAATATGCTTTTAAGTATATTGTTTAAATATATATTGTGTCTGAGAACTCATCAAAAACATATCAAGTGGACTTCTTTGGAAAATACTCAAGGGTTAAAATGTGTGGTACTGTATTTTGTGCAAAGCAATGTAACTCATACCTTCATAGCACATATGTGAAGATTCATGAGCAAATATTCTACTATGTATTTTCATTAAGCTGGACTGCCCTGACACATTGATAAATAATGCTGTTATTGTGAGAATCACTTACTTTACTATCTAAGATGCAGTAACACAAATGAGTTTCAGAAAGGCTTTTACCTATTGTTAAAGCTGAAATGCTTTCTACAGACACGTTCAAGTCAATTGTGTCAGCTATTTGAACGGATTTTACTATCTGTACAATAATGGTGAGGGATTTTGAAGTCGTAATATTATTTAAAGGCTTTTCCAGTTGTGATAGGTATAGGTATATTCCTGGTATCATAGTGTTTTCCAATCAGTTTGTCTGTGATTGCATGAAGGGAGTCTTTAATAGTACTACAGAGCTTCCTGACACTTGAGCAGTTGTTCGTATCGTCTGATGGTTTGTCAGTCATCCAGGTTGATTGTTTTTCTTTCTACTGTCCAGTGAATGCCATAAAGTCAGTTTTCTCTGTCCTGCAGTCTAGAAACATGATTATTCACTTCCAGGGCAGTGAGCTCTAATATGATTAGTGTACAAGACTGTGTGAGGAAAGAACAGTTGAAGTTGAAGTTTAAACTTAAAACGTCCTTAAAAAAAAAAAAAACTCTAGATGGGGTGTGGATTAGATGGCATTGTGGCAAATAGTTTTTTTTTTTTTTTGATGGGAATGTTTTAGGAGTGTTATTGTAGGAAAAGGGCACTTTGGTTGAACTGATTTGCATTTCCTGAGTGTGTGTCATTCCAGATTTACTTAAATTCTTGCTCTGAGCATTGGAAAGAAAGTGTGATAGATCTAGATTTTATACACTTATGTGTATCTCTCTCCCTCTCACTCTTGCTCATTAATGGTGATGACATTTGAGAGAATTGTGGAGATGTTGAGCAAGAGATCTTTTAGTATCCTGCTCATATGAATCTGGTCTGCTGCCACTGGACTAGGCATCTCACAATAAAAAAATAGTGAATTTTACATAAATGTGACTATAGTAAGTTTAAGTGCATCTTCTGTCTGTGAGCCATCCTTACTTTAATTTAGCCTGCTGTTAATATAAATCCACAATAAAATTCCAAATTTATCAACTACTTTTTCCTCAAGCAATATCATCAAAGATGCTCAAATAGAGCCCCGAGGCCCCTTCTAACACTTTTGAAAAGCACAAAAGATTTATTTTCATAACTAACTATTGCATAGAACCTGGGATGGGTGTCTGTCAGGGATCATTTCATGCTGCCTTAATTTTTTTTTTTTGTGTGTGTGTTTTTTTTTTTGTATGCTGTAATAATGTCATAGTCAGTACATGCTAGACCATGAGAAAAGTGCCAAATTTTTTTTCAAAAGCCTTCCCCCCCCCCCCACCAGCAACCCTGGAGAAATACCCAAGACTGCAGGGAAGCCATATATATATATATACACGTTTATCTTGAAATGCATTTAGCCTAAATGCCTTTACATGTGTCCGGGAACATTAAAATCTGTTCCAGTTGGATGCCAGAGATCATATGAACAGTAAAGCACAGTGCTGGAGTTTGGCTGGCCTTTGTGTTTGTGCAGTGAGTAATGAGCCTAACAAGAGAAAACACTGTAGGGTGTAACCACAGATAGACATGGGAGTGAAATGCTCTTTGGACCTTAATAACTCGAGAAAGGTTGGAGAACTAAATGGCATCTTGAATGGTGAGAAAGATTTTGAGTTGGTGACTAGAAAGGACATACTGAAATTCTAGTCAGTAATAGAGAAAATACATGCAAACATCCTTGTCTTTTACCTACATATTTATGATCATAATTTCCTTTGCAACCCTCTTTAAATATGTATTGGCTGCTTTATTGGTTTCAATATTGCAATAAAGAAACTAAAGTCATACATATCACACATATCTCATAGCAGGCATATGACCTTTGAAGGAAAGGGGTAAGAACTCACCTGACAGTACAGTCATTTAAAGTGTGAACTTATAAGGCAGCAAGGTGATAAGCTGACATGAATCATGGATAGATAATAAAATATAAGGGTTATAGGTCAGAAACTGAATATGTGGCTTTGCTAAGGTGAAAAACAAACAAGAAAGTCTTGTATTATTGAAATCGGGTCAACTTTTTTTTGTACTGCATTAGGTTAAAGGATCAGAGGTTAAGACGATTCTTCAAATCACTTGGTAATCTGAAAGCTGAGTAAACAGACAACAGAAGTGAGTTCATGTGTGATCTACTGTTTGCAGTGAAAAGTCATGGTAACATGCTGACTTCACAAAGGCATATAATGCATATAGTGGGCTACCATGATCAAAAGGTTTGTAGAAATAGTGTTTACAGTACATTTGTGGTACACAAGTGCATTACAGTGGTTGAAATGCAGGGTTTATAGTATCAAAGCAGTAAGGATAACGATGGGAATTGTGATGAAATGTCTCTCATTGTTTTGTATGCAGATTCTATTTATGATGCTTCCCTTTAAAACATGCTTTTCAACTGTGAAAATTCCCTCCAAAGCTTTTAAAACAGTTTTACAGTCTGACACGTCCAGTCCGAAGGATATTCTTTGATAGATTATGTAAATCTGGTACGGTGAAGTCTATAAGTCTACAATTTGATAACAGGAGATTAAAATGAATATATTCAATAGTTAAGGTAAATAATAATTGAATTTTACATTGGAGGTGTGGTGCTGGTGGCCTACATTACCATTATTTTGCTCCATATTCAGACAATCATGTGTTCTTGTATAACCTTCCTCGTTTCAATCTTGTGTGATTGGGCGAAAGATAATTCTTTGTGACGCTCTGCCTTAAAGTCCACATAATATGTGGCAGGGAAAACAAACCTAAACTTGAATTTGAACATGCTACGAAGTATAAAAATGATCTTAACATTGAGGATGAGTGTTTTCTGTATTAGTTGGAGTAAAAAAGATGTTGTATATGTCATTTGTAAAATGCAAGTTGAGCAGATGATCATCTACTAAGGATCATGGGAGACTGACTTAAGAGCTCTCGATGGAATGAATAATGTTCATAAGAGCTCTCGATGGAATGAATAATGTTCATGTTTCTCACAATAAAATGTTAATGTCTGTCATGATCTCGTGCCTTTAGCTTTCTTGAACGAGAAATCAAAGGCTCTTGTAATGTAAGTGACTTAGGAATTCACTGACCACTAGATGGCAGCACCACCTTTCAGACTGTAAAAGTGTATTGCAACTGTCATAGAAGTGTGTAAGGTTATTGTGGAAACTGACATCATTACTCAAACTTAAGCATATTTGCCACTAGGTTTGTGCACATCATAGCAGTAAAAACGTGAGAATAATGTTACAGTAAAATATCAGTAATATATTTCTGATAAGAATACCAGCAAAAGCTCCACATGTCCCCTTGCATGTTTATGAAATATTTTGGCTAATTAATTTTTTTAGCTACCACAAAAAAATGTTTCCCATGTTTAAAGCAACTGTATGTACATTTTTTTTTTTACCTTGAAATATCAGTTTCAAACTCATTCTAATGGTACACTGACTGTTTCTTTCCCACGCTTCCCCCCAAACATCTGTTCTGCGAGCGTGTACGAAACTGTCAATCGAAAAGGGCAGATTGCTTTATGGCAGCAACAAATGCACCTGTGCTGTGTTCCAAATCGCCCACATGCCCTCATTCACTATTATAAAAACGAGTGAGCGAATTCGGACAGAGTGCGCTGGAAGGGCTGACGCTTTTCTTTGTACTTGCTGTTTAATAATCATTTGAAACTTAGCAAACTAACCGCTCCAGCTCCAAAATAGCATGTATAAACCTTAATTAAAATATTTAATAATCAATTAAAACTAAATTTATACCTGTATGATATTACTCTGGTGGAGCAGCGGTTTGGAAAAAGGATGGATGAGTGATTCAGTTGCAGGCAATCTTCTGAGCGGCACGACCCTCTCACTGCATTATGGGTATTTTCTAGCTGTTGAGTGTACATCGGCTGTACACTCGTTATTGCTGTGCATTATGGGATTGAATGAGTGCACTTGATACCCTGATCCCAGATAGCACACGAAGGTCTGCAAGATGTCTGTTAAAGATCGCTTAATCTGGAAAGCATCTGCTGTGTACAAATATCTGATAGGCGTTTTTAAGATGTCAGTTTTACATTATAAATCATAAACATCTCAAATACATATTCTAAAAGTCTATTTGACATCTGATGAGAAATGTCCTATAGATGTATTGCAGATGAGCAAACACTCGCTTTGCAGATGTAAATGCAGACGTCAAATAGACATCTCTGTGATGTACGTGTGCTATTCCTATTTAGAAAATGTCTTTTAGAATATTTAGAATGTATGTAAAACTGACATCTTAAAAAAATGTCTATCAGATGTTTGTACAGCAGATGCTTTCCAGATGAAGCAATCTTTAACAGACATCTTGCAGACGTACGTGCACTATCTGGGTACACACAGCTGCTTTAAATCCGTTCTGTAGATTTTTCTGCCAAAAGAAATGTGAAAAGTCTGCAGATTCGGTCTGAGCCTACTAATGTGTCGCCTTTATGTAGGAAGACATTCAGTTTTTTTCAGATTTTGTTGTCTTTCTCAATTAGGATTAGGACAGTAAATATCCCCTCCTGGGCTACATTCTTAAGACCCCCACAGCACGTCTGTATCGTCAGCTTCCTGCGGTTCCCTATAGCTCCATATCCCTGCCAGTGTAAAGGTTCAACAATTTACTGCAGTCTAATAAACCAGGCCTTGTACGGGGCTCTCACTGAGGTAGGCAGTTTCCCAACATTGTCAACTCAATGAATTACAAAAGAGGAGTGGTTTTAATGAGGGGGTCTTGCAGGATTCTCTAGAATAAAAGTGCCTGTTCACATTCAGGCAAAGTGTCAGATATGTGGTGTAGAAAGTGCTTGTGAACCTGAGTTGCAGCCTTTGCCACTTGAATTTACAGAATACCCATGCATGGCTTCACAATCTTGTTTCCCCATATGTATGGCAGAATGACAGAGAAATCCAGAGGATGTGGTGGTTTAGGATCACTGCCTTCTGAATACCCAAGCGACATGCACATGCACCTACACAGCACATGTTGTGCTTATTGCACAATTAGCATGTTTCCTTAAATTCTGCACCGGAACAGCCAAAAAAAACATGCTAACCTCAAAATGCGTTTTTTCTTCTCCTCAGGAATTAAAGCTGTACAACACTTGGCTGTGTTTTTGTTAAATGTATTGTGTGTTATTTTGAGAAAAGGACTATCCAGTCTAAAAATCATATCAGCAGCACTTCTCAATCCTGCTCCTGGAGTCCAAGCAAGCCTATACATTTTTTAGTGCTGTTTGTTAAGGCAAGCATCAACATTCCTAGTTCTTACTGATAGTTAGGGATTTTAATAAACCCCCTAACCCTATGTATAATTTTCAGCACATTCATATCACACATGTTTGCCACAGATATGCAGCTTTTTGAGAAGAGGTGAGGTATTTGTTTTCTAAGCAATTAAACTTCTCTTGTTGTCTTGGAAAGACCTGAGTCATATTAAAAACTTTTAAGTTTTTGCATATATTATATTATTAAAAATATGATATATGAAAATGTCACATTCTTTCTATATACATTTATGAGTGATATGAACTACTTTTTATATTATTGTTATAAAATGTATAAATATATAATATAATGTATATAATTTTGTATATTTCTATAAATTTATCTAGGAGTCATATTGACCACATTTATGGCATTTTATGGTGATTTGTGTCCTTTTGAACTTCTGAATAGTGAGATCTGCATGTGCAAGCATTACTTACATATTCAAATACTTACATTACTTACATATTCAAATAAGCAAAGTACAAATTCTTAGTTTTAATTCTAAATACTCTTAGTTTTGCATAGTTTTATATTTTATATTCATTTTTATTTTAAATTACAAATACAGAGAAAATGCATGAAGAAATGTGTGCAATGTAATAATGTAATATGTTTTGGTGCTTTTTTTTTGTTAGGGCCATCCCTGAGAGCGCCGTTCTTATAACTTAGGACTGGACCCTGACCTGAATATAAATACTGATGCTTCATGCCTTACCACACTTTACTGAATAGCAAAAATGCAAACATTGCCTTCGGTTACAGTGGATGGAATCGTAAGCTGCAGGGACTATAGAGCACAGGTCTGAGGCAGCCAGAAGATCGTATTTACTTTGCCGCTGTAATGCCCATTCCTTACTAATGCCAGCTATTTTCATTGTGCTGGTGATTTCAAATGCGTTAAAAATAGAACAGACACCCTCTCTCTCTCTCTCTTCCTTCAACTCTCTCAACTTGTCTCAGACATAGTCTGACCATAAACCCCGAGGATTACTATATTACCCCTCTGATAAAACAGGAACCTGATAGGGGAAAAGCTCTTTACTAAACATTGCACCTTATCTGAAACAAACATACACAAACGTGTGCTGTACTGTGATGATCAATAAGACTGATAAATGATAACTCAGTAGGTTGAAGCGGACTCATGCAGTCTCATTGTGTTCTCTCTTAGCACTCAGAGGTCAGGATATCACTGATGGAAATCTGTGTGAGACCCAAACATCAATGATTGGTGTGATTACAGGCCACAGGGAAAGATGGCCATATCCACATGGCCAGGAGTCTTAGGCGTTTTAGTACACCGCATTCAGTGATGGCTGATTGTTATCAGCGTCGCTGTCTCCACATCTCGGGCACATTTATTGAACTGTACGTCAGTTCCCAGTCTTGACATTCTTCCCTATTTCTGGTAAGAAGATCCAGTAAGTGGTCTGGACTGTGCGTTTAAGTTTAAGGGGATACTGTACCCAGTAATCAATATTCTGTCATACAGTCATTTAGCCTCTTTTTATTCCCAAATGACTTACTTTCTGCAATGGAGCACAAAACACACTGTATTGGTAGTTTTTCCATACAATTACAGTACAATGAATGGGGACTGAAGCTTTTTAGCTCCAAAAAGGACGCAAAAGCACTATAAAAATATCATAAAATGGTCCAAATGACTCATGATACCTTAGTATGACAAAGAGAACTTTAAGTCATTATTCACTGAGGTTCTCCCTTCAGTGAGCTGTTAAGTGCAGCAATTGTCCCTTTGCAAAGACTCGCCTCCCTACTGTTGCTACGTCTGACAAGTCATGGCACTCTCCCGCCACACATTATGTTCTCATGCAGTGAAAAATACATTATGGAGCAAGGAGGACACTGGCAACGTGCCAACAGGCAAGACAGAGTAGGTTACTTGTGGTATGAAACACAGTATCAGCTTTCAAATTTTGAAATTTTTTAAGAAATTGAAACCATAAATATCGTTTTGTGGCTCTTTAATGTGTCGTGACTCGTGACAGATCGCTGTAGTTCAAGCGGCACGTGAACCAATCATCTCTTCCAATCATCTCTTCCTCTTAACTAGTTATAGCATGAAATAAACATGAATGAACATCAGAAGGTATCTTGTTTCAACCACAGAAAGATGTCAATACACACCGTTTTCAAGTCCACCGACATTAATCTACTCTCCTGTCTTTTTTTGGCGTTATGATTGGTCAGATCACCTGTCACTCAAACTCCCAGCGAAGGGTCAATTGGATTATTGATTCAAAGAGTTGAATGTAATTCAGTAGTGATTCAATTCACTGAATTTCACCCTGTTTCTTACACAAAGCTATATATGAATTTAGAAGATTTCAAATGCAGTGCACAAGTCAAATAGGTCACTTTTATAGTACTTTATGGTGCATCTGTGTCCTTTTTGAAGTTCGAAAGCTTTGTCTTTGTACATTGTAATAGCATGAAAAAGAGCCACTAGGACAGTCTTTGGTTTGGAATGATATGAAGGTGAGTAAATGACAATATTTTTTTGTTATATAATATTAAATATATATATTTGTATATTATAGTTGTTATATTTGTTCTGTTTCTCACACCATACAAAGTTCATATGGCTTCAAAAGACTTGGAATGTAGCGCATGAATCATATGGACCAATTTATGA